TCTCTTTCTCTCTCTCTCTCTCTCTCTCTCTCTCTCTGTTCTTCGTGATTTACATTTCAAAGATTACGACAATAGCGAGAAACAATAAAATGATTGCGATAACAAAATTGTGAGTAGGAAAGATAGCGACCCATCCTTTATGTGATTTGTTTAGCAGTCATTTATGACATAATATATAATACGACATGCGACATGCGACACGCGAATGCGACACAGATATTTGTATATTACAAAGCATACATAAATATATGCATGGACTTGTCGATTTTATTAACGAGTATGAAAGTAATACATTAGTTACGTACAATTAAATGCGATTTATACGTGCTTTATGCAAGGGTTATTTAATGTTATAACGTGTATACTGTAAATTTTACTCCATATTATCATGTGCGTATTTTAATTACTTAATAATATCACATATAGGTTAAATTATGCATCCAATTTTGTTTTAAATAGCACGTTACAAAAGCAAAAACATACATAATTAATCTAAGAATAATAAGCACGGAAAAATGACTAAAATGATTAAATGTATTAGTTGATATCTTTGAATAGCAATATAGTTCATTTTGTTTCAATTTAAATTATAATAGGAAAAAATTAAAAAGCGATACTATTTTGATGATTTGAAATGTGAGTGCTTAATTAAATAATATAAATGCCTTGTTTTTTCTCGTTCAAATAATTTTTGTAGCGTAAGCAGTTACGGGATAGGCAGTGGTCCAGGTGGAAGTGGTAGTTGGTCGACCCGAGGTGTTGGTGGTATCAGCGGCGATTCCTATCAGCAAGGCAGTGGGATTTTCGGTTCCCATCGTCAACAGGTTGATTGTAAAGTTGAAAAAGTTTAAATTTAAAAAAGGAAAAATTTTTTGAATTTTACCCGCATTGACTGAATCAAATGACTGTAGGAAAGATACGACTCCTATCCATCGGGTGGCGGACTTTTCGGCGGCGCAAGTTGCAGTTGCTCATCAGAATACGGTGGGCTATTTGGAAAGAAATGATTTACAGGTTTTTTTTTAATTTTCCCATTTAATTATTTAAATAATAGAATGTAAGATTTGAAAGATTCGAAATATCATGTTCGAAATCATATTTAATTTCTAATATAACTTATTATTTTTTAACTTTGCAGTTGTATATTATTAATTATTTTATTTATAATTTATGATTGATTTAATTTTTGCCTAATTTATTTTGAAAAAAACCAACATATAATTAAATCTAATGTTCACAACTAATCAACTAAATACCAGTATGATATTTGATTTCCAAAAATTAAATTAATCAAGTCTGATTACAGTTAAATCAAATTGTTAAAATATTACGCATCATTTAAAAAGCCGTAAAACACGTTTTGATGGCGTAATATTATGATGACCAGTTGAAATGGGAAAGCCGGTTTTTGCGTATTTCAACATTCCTATTGTTCAAGCTTTCCTGCAAAAACGCTATTTTTAAAGACCTCCGTTCATCTCATGCACGCGCAAATACACATAAGCAGCCATTCTAAAAACACGCTATATAAATGTCAATAAATTTTTAAACAAAAAAAAATCCCAAACGGATGAATGGTAATTGCACGTATGGGAACGCCAATAAATTGGACATGCAAAAAAGGCGCAAAGATAGTAAAAGAGAATTGGACTTAAATTTTCTAACATTTTTTTTTTGATTGCGAAATTATATCGGACAAATTTAAAAAATTTAACAAGAAAAGAGGGCACAGTTTTTCGAAAATAAAAAATAAAAAATAAAGTAAAATAATGGTAATAATGATAAAGAGACAAAAAAGTTGAAAACAGACCAATAAGTGGGTGTTTCTCAATTTATTTTAAAGACAATTTAATTTAAATAAAAAAAGCAGTAGACAAGAATATTGAAATGTTTGATCAACGGATATTTGTGTAAATATATTAAAAAATATTTTTAAAAAATAAGGTTCATTTTACAATTTTTTTTGTTTTCAAATGCTATTTTTTAATGATTTCCATTTAAGCAAATTAAGTGTTTAATTTTTGTAAATTTTACCATGAACTAATCATTGTCATCATTGACACACACAAAAAAATGGGAAATAAAAAAATAATGCTTGCAAAAAATTACATCAAAACTTATGTATGAGATTTCAAACTGTGTTTATTTTTTCTCCTTTTTATTAAACAGTAATCGATGGTTAATAAAATTTAATTAGCTTACGCCATTGTCGCTCATTTTCAATAATTTCAAAGCATCAATTTTGTTTTTTTGAAATTGTCATTGTTCTATCATCAGTTTAACTTATCATTTTGATCGGTTTTAATTACGATAATTAAATTTTCATATAATATGGAAATTTTAATTTAAATTGTTCTTTTTTCTTTCATAATAACAAATATAATTTAACGTTTTCTTTTCTTTTTTGTCAGAGCACTATTTGTGGTGGCAGCTTCGACAGTTGTATCGGCAAAAGATCGTTTACCCTCATGTGAAATTATTCCAAAGTTGCTGCTATACTGTATTGAATATATTTTAAACAAATGTGTTATCGATTGCTTCAATTATCTAACTGCTAAATGTCCATATAAAATGCAAAATTATGATGAAATTATCACAACGATCATTGGTTCTTATCAAAAGATAGAATCAAAATTCTACAATCAACAAGTTAGAACGTTCATTTCTTTAGTTTTTAAAAATTTCAAATTTAATAAATTATGATTTTTACGAAGTGATTTTTTCATAATCGATAATCGATTGTACTCCATTCAAACGTTATTTTCGACAATCATAATTTTATGATCATAGCAGTGCGAATATATCATTTCCAATGAATAGATATTTTTTTTCGTTCTATAAAATTTTCAAATGAGTTAATTAGCAAATGTGCTAATTAATCGAACAAAAGCTCGCGTTAGTTGTTTTGCTAATTTAGACCACATTCATTTCTGCAGCAATTCCAACCACATTATCTCAGCCTATTCCTCGAAATGTTCGTCGACAATTGTTCAAAAAATTAATGTTGTTTGTTGAACCAAATCCATCATCACCCAAGAAATTATTTGAACTTCCGAAAGGTCATTATGTAATTTCTGCAGTATCACAACTGTTTCCTTTTTTTCTTTTAAAATTTGAGAATCGGTATGCTATCAGATATTGACGAATATTGCCAGTATAGTTTTGTTTCCTAATAAAATCATTTCCATTTCTATTTGGTATTTTAAAAATTTACCCTTACTTCTCAATTAGCTCGGTAATCAATTTTTCATTTCTTTTAGCACCAACTTATCAAACTGGCGGTGACTATATTTGTCAAAATGAACAATATCCAATCACCAATTTATCGGATTCCAATCTTTCATCCAACTATTATATCGAGAATTCTCGGCCATCTTATTCATTACGTTTACCACAAAAGCTTTTCAATGAACTATTCTTAACCTGTTGTCAACAGCATGTAAGCATAGGTTTTAAGAATCTGTAAGCTTATTTGTGTTTGCAAACTTTTAAATATTAGTTTTAAATTGATGGTTTAATGTGATGGCTAATAGTCGAAATTTAACAGTTCTACCAAAATTTATTAAATTTCAAGTTTTTTTGATAGTTAAATTTTTATTTATAGATACCAACAAATTGTCACAGTTTATGTACATACGAGCATTGCGAACATATCGCAGTCGAAGCGCTAATTAAAGCGATTCAACAAGATGATTGCGATCTTAAATATCTTAACAATACCTTGTATTGCGGAAATCGAAATCGAAATAATCGAAATTGTTGGCAGTTTCACGAAATATCATTATCGGAACTAGAAGTTGGTAATAGGTAGGTAAGTTAGAATGAAAAAATCACTTTCTTATGTTTTATTCGTATTTTAAAAAAAATTTTTCCAGGCTACATTTTGTAAAATTTGAAGCATTACTATACATTAAAAGTATTCTTATATTATTTTCACCAATACGTTGATTATAAATCATTTCTCCACTTGTATTAAAACTATTCAAATGAAATTTTTCAATTAATTCAAATTACATTCCTGAAAATATAGCAGATTATATAAATTTAATTTAAACTGGTTTAATAGAAATGAAGAATATGAGTTTAATTTGAGATAATTCAATAGAATTGGAGAAGAGGTTGTCGTGAAATTTTTTGCTAGCTTTATTCTAATGGATTCTTATAAGGTATTCAGTAGAGGGATTGCAACTCTGTCTTTGTTGAAATGTTGGTTCTTTAATTATGAAATAAGAACTGCGCCCTATTCCAATGTGGTTGGTTGTAGCAGAAGAACGATGTGAAGACACAGGTTGAATTGTACTTATTGCGCGTGAAACCCACTCAAACTTGTATAATTAAACCAATAGCAATAATAAAAACGCAATATTAATACATGAAATA